TCCCAAAAGTTAGCTCATACGGTGGGAATGTCGTGAAACCATATAACTCATTCCCGCTCAACCGATGTGAGACATTCTACCCATAACAACAACTCAATTTGCAAGAAGTTTTTGATGACAAGTGAAAAGAACCTCTCTACATGAGGGTACAATAAGAAGGAAACATATTTTTTTGGGAGTTAGCCAATCTTTTTACTAATAATATCAGCATTTCAGTACCAACTTTAGTAGATCCATTCTGATCATTCACAACCTAAAAACTAGGAAAATCTAGCTGACTAACCAAACGAGAAACATTTTATGCTTACCATAGTTGCTGGAGTTGGCTATAAGATCATATTTGATAGCATATATGTCTACATACACAATAGTAGCATCCTTCATTTCAGATCCCAACTCTTGGCACACATGTCGCAGCCCTTCATTAAACAGCTGTGCTGCAGAATTGTAACTTGCAAGACAGCCATGTGGATCAAGATCAGAGGAAACTTTCTGAACCAGGGTAAGTTTTTGAGGTAGGCATCCTAGTGGCCCAGTGTTGTGGACCCAAAATTTCCGCCCTCCTTGAGAATATATGACCTACATTTGAAAAATTTCAAGGGAATGGGCAAACTCTAAGACTATTAAATTTTAAGCTAAAATCATAAAACTTAAATATTTATGTGAAAGGATGGAACAGTAATATTTTCTTATTCAAATCCAATAGAAGCTTTAGCCATAGACATGTTAGTTCCAACTAACAGAACTATTCTCACATGCAGATATTAAGGTCATAAATGAGGGAAACTCCTGAAGAGTTATCGATCTGAGATACTGTATATGGACATGCATCTGGTTTACCAATCATTGTCAACTTCTAAGGGGTGTTCTACGTGCTCAAGAATGGATATGTTTAGCGATATAACTTTTGTTTCAGGACGAGAATGCAAAGCTAAATTACAACTTTAAAATATGAAGTCAAGTAGAACAAGAAGAAGATAGCAACAGCCAAAACTTGATAACTATATTAAGACATGTCAATTGGTATAGACTGCAGAAAATTCCTTTACATTTATGTATATATGCTTTTTTAGTTGTATATACTCTAAGTTGCAAACTAAAAGAAACAGTATATCTTTATGTCTTGACTATGTCTTTGCTGCATTTGGGCAAAAACTGCTATCACATAAATCAGGTAGCTAACCTTTCAGCACCTCATTAACCCTGCGGTGAAACCTTTCTTAACTAACTTTAGCCTTCCTAAGCTTTTCTTCATATAAACTTACTGATATTCTTGTTTGTGTTGTACTTCCTTCTTTTGGTTGGGGAAGCAGGGGAAAGTGAATGAATAGTGATTGAAGAAATTACCTGAATAGCATTCTTGATCTCTGTAACAAAGGAGGGGATCATCTTGACTACTTCTATGTAAGACATGTTCTTAGCAAATGAATCGGCAATGTCATTTTGTCCAATATCTATCATAGAAAGAGCATTGTGGAATCCTTCATCACCAACCAAATTTCCAGAACCTGGATGTAACAATATGAACCTAAGTCAAGATCACGTTCACGTTTCTGGGTACAGGCCATTAGCATGGGTAACAAAAATTATCTATAAGTTTCATAAGCTTAACATCTCTTTGTGTTTGATGCTCTATTAGCAATGAACAAGAAAAACCAAAAAACTAGGGACACACCATCTCAATCTGAAATTGTAATGAGCATGTTGCGCACTGTATAAGTATCTTTTAACTGAATTAAAAGAGTTGGCCTAGCTGGTCTCCAGTCCTCATGCAAACTGGGTAGTTTAATCAAAGACAAATTCACGGAAGAATAGCCAACACAACAGATCCGAGGGTGTGTAAAAGATTTTAATGGTCTACTACTTTTATTTGGACATAGCTCGGCAATTTCCAGCTTGACCTGTTTGAAACAAAACGTGCCCTTTAGCTATTAAACTGGAACAAGAGGGAAAATCAAGGACTAGATTTCAATTATCACATTAAGTATAAACTTGCAGCTTTGATAGCCAACATATTCTGTGTTCAGAACAACATTGCATATGCACACTAATGAGATTATGTCCTCGAATATCACTAGAAAAGCCTCAAAGTATGCAGATTGCAGATTTTCTAAGCACATCGATGTTGGAAATTAGTAGAGTATCAAGAAAGATCCTTACGATCCCCTCCTACCCCCACCACCCATCAGAAAGAAAAAGAATAAGATGTGACTGATACAAGATTTGTGCAGAGAATGAAAGAAAAGTGTAAGAATTACCAGCACTAACAAGTTCAATTGAGCGATCCTTGAAATGAAGAAACTGCATGACTTGAATATTTAGTGCAAACGGTTCATACTTAGGCAGTAAACGAGATCCTGCTATAGCAAAATTTGCTCCATTCAAGAAAGTGGATCCCACAGAGTCTAGGTATGGGCTCAGGAACCTTGTATTAACACTTTGACCTGCACTGACAAAAAAAGCAATCTCATCTCGCATACATTGGTATCCCGTGATATTTGGAGAGTATAATTATGTGTCCAAATCAAAACTAAGAACTCAATATACCATAAACTACACCATCGTTGATTTACATATAGTAGGAGGTTAAGTAGTGCTTCTGGAGGGCCATACAGATCCCAGTATAATGCAACGCATAAAAAAATCTTTGAAAGTTCTATGAAAAATAATGACATGAAAACATTGGAAATATTCCTCAGTGCTATTACAACATTCAAGTTTGTCTTCATTTTTATTTGCCAAGATATTCCATATTCCCAAGGCACATGATAAGAATGTGTGAACCTAAAGATCCGATGATAACTATTTTCCGCACAATGAAGATACCTGCTACATGTTCTGTCTCAATACAGTAGGAGACAATAATCCTAATTGTTTTGCACATTGCATAAGATTCATGACAATTGAGGTCCTAATTACCTTTCACGTTTTATTAACTGAAAGAAGAAATCCATTTAGAATTATCTGTGTAAAAGTTGTATGCAGTTTTCTTTGTTTTGTTGCAGCAAACAGCTTACACCCCTTCTTCCAAGGTAAATAAAATTTAGAACAAAGTAGTTCCATTAAGCATCACTCGACTAACTTTCACTGTAGTGCTACAGTCTTTCCTTGAGTCACCAATTTTAAGTCATTTGATACTTAAAAGAGTATCACATTATAAAACAGAGACTAGGTAAATGAAATGAAGCAAAGTACATTTTCAACTTAGCTTGTACGATAGAGATCATAGTTTACCCAGTCAAATTTTCATTCTCAAATGGATGATGCAAAATAAACTTGGAACAAGGTTATTTTTCAGGACCATATATTTTGTAACTAATGCAATGCTATGCTATTAATGTCCTCAATTTAATTGCATGAATAAACCATAGTAGTCAAGCTGCATTTAATTCAATTAATGAAATGGCAGATACTTACAAACATTAAAATCCAAGTAGGACCCAATCAAATATTCATCACAATCTTACAAAGATATGACATTTTACCTACCAAACAATGCATGCAGTGAATCCAACAAACTCCGCACAAATTCATACTTCCAATGTACAATTAAACAAGCACTATAGAAAATGAAAAGAAAATAAACAAAGTAACAGGAAAAGAAAAAGAAAAAAAAAGGAGCAAGAGTGAATGGGACTTACAGAGAAAATCAAGAATGAGGCGACCATCAGAGAGACGACCAGTTGATCTGCCGAAGAAAGTTCGACCATTTGGGAGGTTAATTGGGTACCCGAGTCCGGCCACGAGTCCACCCGTATCCGAGTTAGAATCACCAAAATTGAAAATAACTGGTGCATTTTTACACTGAGCTAGAACTGGGTTTATGAAACAAGAGGAAAGTGCAGAAATGACAACAACATAAGCTGAAGCTTGTTGTAAGAATGAGACCCAACCCATGTTTGTTTTTCCTCTGGCTTTTACACTAGTCAGTTCTTCAACTTCTTTTTAGTATACAAGTAGAACGTTTGACAGTTCTTGAAAATTGTGGGACCGTTTTGGAACAATGTGTGGGCTCCACTTCATGATAAGTTGTCCCCATTTTGTTCTATTCCAAATGTGTGGACAAATTATTTTCTTATTCTTCTTCCCTTTTTTCTTCAGAAATATTTTTGCCTCCTCCTTGTAGTTTTGCTTTGTTCTTCTTTATATTTCCTCATCTTTGGCAGTTTTTATGTTTTGTCTTTCTGTGGCCACATGGCATGGCAAGTTGTTCTAGTTCCACCCACCATGTGTGTGATATTTGTACATTCTTTTAACTTTATCAAAATAGCAAAAGTCATTGTTCTCTTTTCTTAACTTAGGTCTTATGACTAGGTGTTAAAAGAGTGTGTTGGACAAAATTAACTTATTGATCTACACTATTTTACTCACTTTATCCCCACACCTTTGACGGATTAATTTGGATATAACAGTCTTTGTCTGAGGTGTGGCGTAATTTATGTTGGACTGTCAACTAGAGCTCCTGTCGGTAATATGAAGTAATATTTACTATTCTATCACAATCAGGAGTAATTACCATTTTACCCGATCATTCCATTACAATTCAAAAACTGGCTAGCCCATGTTGTTTTCACCGTAAAATTTAGATATAATTTATATCAACGGCAAGTGGAATCGCCTAACTGATACCGATTTTAGAAATGGAATCAACCGTATCTTTTCTTCGCAATACTGGTTGGTTTCTAATGTTTGTTTTGTATCGCTTTATATATATATCTTGCAGCTACACGAGAAATTATAAAATCTTCCTCAAACTGTATCGAAGAGGAGATCACGCACAATGCTCTAACTTGTAGTGTATACATTGATATGCCGTCTGCTGTGAATTATATTGGAACTTAAATGTTTTTGCCATATGTGGCCCCTTTCTTTTTCTTGTGATCATCATCTGTAGAATCTACTCTTTAATTTTTGTTTTCGTTTACATCTATAAAATGCTTACCTTTTTGTATAATTTTTCCGTCGTCACGTCTTAGTAGTCAGTATCCAGAATTAGATTTAAAACCACGATCAAATTATATATCGTCATATATAGTTAAGATAACAAAAAAAAATGGGTAACGAAGTTTTGCCTTTTTTGTTAATGGTGACGGTGCAAGTTGGCTATGCAGGGATGAACATTGTAGGAACACTTGTCATGGATGCTGGAATGGACCCTTTCGTCCACATTGCTTATCGCCAAATAATTGCCACCATTTCCCTTGTTCCCTTTGCTTACTTCTTCGAGTGGTAATTAATTACCCCTCATTTTAAAGTATCACATAAATATTGTACGAATGTGGATAAATGCTAAATCAGCTTTGCTTTATTCAATCCAGGAAAACTAAGCCGCAGTTGACATCATCTATTCTTTTCTGGATTTTCTTATGTTCTTTGTCCGGGTTAGTGTTCTCTCTTTCAAGCGCATCATCCATGTCGTATAACTACTCCCCCTCAGTTTAAGTTTATTTTAAAGTTTTGAGTAACAAATACATAAATATGTTTGACAAATTAAATTTAATTTCGAGATATTGTGTATTTCTTTTGAACATCACACTTTCTGGTACGTATCCAATATGCAGGTTAACCGCAAGTCAGATTGCATACTTCGTTGGGTTAAAGAATTCCACTCCTACTATCGCCTGTGCATTATCAAACTTAATTCCAGCAGCCACTTTTCTCCTGGCTATCCCTTTTGGGTAATAAATTTTAATTACTACTTTTCTTCAAATCAATATGAGTGTAACATATTATTAATCCCAAAATACTTACTAGAAAAGTACTAATTTAATTTGGCAGGTTGGAGAAAGTGGGGTTTAGAAGTAAGTCAGGGCAATCCAAAGTATGGGGTACAATAATATGTGTTGGTGGTGCCATGTTATTGTCCTTGTATCATGGACCTATTGTAATTGGTCAATCTGGCATCCATTGGAAATTTGCAGAAAATACTGAGAAAAAGAACTCTACTGACCATGTCAATTTAATCTTGGGACCTTTATTGCTTATTGTTAGCACTGTTTCTTATTCATTATGGATTATTTTCCAAGTAATTCTCTTTCTTTTTGTCACAAAATAAAGCACATTCTTTATTTCTTTTTCATATTTTCTTACTTCAAATTATTCATTACTGATTAACTTATTCATCAAATTATGTTTATTTTTTTATTTTATCAGGCAAGAGTAAGCGAGAAGTATGCAGCTCCATACACAAGTACAATGTTGATGTGTTTAATGGCAAGTTTTCAATGTGTGATAATTGGGGTTTTTGTGATTCATGATAAAGCTGCTTGGTTTCTAGACCGTATGAGAACTATTGCCGTTCTTTACAATGTAACAATTACGTTAACAAATTAAATTTAAATTATTGTTTGTATTATTATATATTATTCTTTATTTAATTCAACAGTAAATTTCAGGGAATTGTATGTACTGCGTTAGGATATTGTCTAACTTCATGGTGTATACAAAGAAAAGGTCCTCTCTATGTCTCCGTTTTCTACCCTTTAATGCTAATCATAACGGCCGTTCTTAGTTGGACTTTGCTTCGTGAGAAACTATATCTTGGAACGTAAGTCTTCATTTCACCATTCCAAATTGTTGGTTTTTAATTATTTTTTTAAAATTTTTAACTTACATTTATTATTGTTTGTGAATTTTAGAGTTGTAGGATCGTTCTTGACAGTAGTGGGATTCTATGGTGTCCTATGGGGAAAAGATGAGGAGAAATCCAAGTCGGAGACAGAAAATCTTGAGATAAAAACAGATAAATTGAAGCAGCAAGGAGCAAAGTGAGATTTAGAACTGCTATTATCTGGGCATTCAAATCCTAAAGCCAATGCCAGTAAATAGACGCTCCTAAGTATGCATTGATCTTATTGACTTTCGATCAGTTTAGGAAAGAGAAATTTTAGTAGTCCAATGGGTTGATTACGTAAACTTTCACCTTGTTGATAAGGATTTAATTATCCACCTTGTAATCCCCTAACCTTCCCCTAGAGCTATTTGGTCTAATTACAAGACCTAATCATGAGTCAAGTTTGCATGTTAACTTGTGTAATATCATGAAGTTATTATGAAGCTTAGTCCCAGTTACGTTTCCTGGCATATAATCATCTTCGCCCCTACACATGTTATAACACAAATATGCTAAATGAGCATCTCAAACAATTAACTGGTACTTCAATTCAACTTCCCTGAAAACTAAAAACGAAAGCAAAAAACGATTACTAGAGAAATCTAAAAGTAAAACAATTTTGGATTGGTTTTATATTCTTATATATATATATNCAAAATTAAATGACAAAAGAAAAAAATAAAAATATTAAAAGGATGAAGTGGGGCAAATGCACATAGAGTTGAGTTGTCACTAAGCAGAAGCAAAAAGGGACAATAGAGCGATAGCATGACGCATTTAATCATAAATTACAGGTCTGGAGGCGAGAGAAGGTGTATTTTTAAACCCAAGGGTTAAAATCATTTTTCGATATCGGTTAACCCGTTAAGAAAATTGAATAAATCAAGTCTCGAACTGCTAACCCAACAATGAAATAAATATTTTTGAATAGTTAATCCAGTAATTCGATATTAATAATTTAATAATATTTGAATCAATATTACCGGAAATATGCATCCCTAAGCGCCGTTTTTTTTTATTCTCGATCAATTTCATCTATATTATATATTAATTTCATTTCTATCTAGATTAGCCCTACATACAGTATTTACACCAAATTAACTAATTAATACATGATATGATTTTTAATATATTTTTATTATTTAATTATTATAAATTCATGTTATTTAATATAAATACCGATATGGAACTATATGTTTTCAGTGGCGACAAGTGAATTGATACCTTAGGGACGCAGAGAACATAATACTAGACTACACAAGAAAGGAATAAGTTAATGCTCGACATTCAAACAATTCAAAAAGTTTAAAAAGAGAGTTTGACCAGCTCTTTAATAGTGGATTATCTATCATGAAGTGATGTCTTACAACTTAGTATAAAGTTTGCATAACCGGAAAAAAATAAACATAAAGTTCTGAAAATTAAACTCTTTCTGAGTGACCTATTGTACCAAACAGTTCTAAAGCATCATTAAAAAGCATAACAAAAATTATTTTTCGAATAAATCGGGTCTATTATTTCCTTTGATTAAAGGGAAATCATAAAGTCTCAAGATGTGACTTCTTAAAAAGGATACCCTAGTCCCTACCATATATATAGCTCAGAGCAATTAACTAGCGTTAAAGGACTAAAGTTATAAAAAGGAAATCATCAAAGACAAGAACAATGAGTAAAGCAATTAAATACTCCATAGGAAGTGTCCGTTCCAGAAAAGGAAATAAAAAGAAAAGAAAACGATTGTTGTGGAAGTGGTGAAAAGAAAAGTGTAGCAAAGGAATATTAAACGAAAAAATGTAAAGAAGGCGGGCCAAACAAAGCGTAAGTGGACAAAGTAATGCCGTTTGTGTTAAGTGGACGAAGTGTTCTAATAATTTGTAATGTCGTATTTGACATTGTATACTTATGTTTATCTTCTCAAAATGATAACACGATACATCGATACCTAAGTATCTTAAATCTTTAAATTTAATAACGTGCTACTAAGTTGCATGATTAATTGGTAATGTATACGGTTAAAACCGGACTCACCCGATTTTACTACTTGACCGAGACCGGGAGGTTGCATCGAAGGATGGCCTCGTAACGGAACAGACTAAATCACGAGGATAAGGCACCGAGTTCAGAACCGAGGTACCTATCGAGATCGAGGCCAGCAGCGATCAAGACCGAATGAGACAGGCATCGAGCAAGATCAAAGATAACATAATAACGGAAAGATGAAATATCCTTGACTGGTCGAAGATCATGGCGGAAATCTCGGAACGAATCAAATTAGAAATGGTTAATTAGCTAATCATGAGATTTTCTTCTGTAATTAGAGTTATACCATAAGTAGAATTTCTCTACTATATAAAGGGGGAGTATAAACCATTTGTAAGATATATTGTTCTCGCATAAAAAAGCCAATATAACGCTCTCTCTTTAGCTTATACTCTCTTGTTCATCAGCTTGCTTTATTTTTAACCGTTTTGGTATCAATCAGTTCGAGGGCACCCTAACTCGAGGGTTGAATTCCGTTTCAACACTGGTTCGCTTTACTTTATAGTTCATTTCTATTATTAATCTTCATATTTATCAATTGATATTAAGTGAGATCACGTGTCCTTAGAACCATATTATAAGTTTAATTATTATTCAATTTTAAGGGTAAACTGTTTGGCGCCCACCGTGGAGCTAAGGATAATAGTGATTGCTTACTACTAATTCCGATAACACACACTGATTTACACTTGTTCTCATAAGAGTCTTTGTTTTCAGGATAAACATGTCAAACTCACAAGCAGCGCCTACACATAGTGACGAAAGCCTCGGATTTCACGGGAAAAATGATAATATAGCCGCCGTAGGGATCGAGGTGCCTCAGGCTGACCTCGAAGGAGCACCAATTGCAAATCCCGTCGATGTCAGTTCACATGTCACCCTAAATACAAATTTGGGCGTTGATCTCGAAGGTAGCGTACGCAGGGAAGTTCGATCAGATGGTCGAGGTACGCAGGGCGGAGAAGATGGTGGAGTTAGCCTCCAATTGATATTCGAAATGTTACAGGCTCAACAAGCCCAAAATCAGCACCGAACACCGAGTAGGATCGAACTAGAAGTCGTCCACAGGACCGAGCCTGTGCTGGAAAGGTCGGACACCAACGAATTGGGGACTGACCCCGTCATTATGAAAATGCTCGAGGAGCTCACTAAACGGATTGAATCGGGAGAAAAGAAAATCGAGGCAAATGACAAGAAAGTAGAGACATACAACTCCCGAGTTAACCAAATACCGGGGGCACCGCTAATTCTAAAGGGTATGGATTCAAAGAAATTCATACAGAAACTTTTCCCTCCAAGTGCGGCTCCGAAACCCATTCCGAAGAAATTCTAAATGCCAAAAATTCCTAAGTACAGTGGAACCACCGACCCTAATGAGCATGTCACTTCTTATACATGCGCAACAAAAGGGAATGACTTGGAAGACGATGAGTTCAGATCTGTTCTACTGAAGAAATTTGGAGAAACCTTGTCGAAAGGAGCAATGATATGGTACCACAATTTGTCGCCTAATTCCATCGATTCCTTCGCCATGCTTGCAGACTCCTTCTTAAAGGCACATGCCGGAGCGATAAAGGTTGCGACTAGGAAGTCGGACCTCTTCAAGTTGAAACAAAAAGACAACAAAATATTGAGGAAATTCGTATCTCGGTTCCAGATAGAACGCATGGAACTACCACCGATCACAGACGATTGGGTTGTTCAAGCCTTTACTCAAGGTTTGAACGAACGAAGTTCGGTGGCATCACGACAGCTGAAGCTAAATTTAATTGAATATCTAGTGGTAACTTGGGCTGATGTACATAATCGGTACCAGTCAAAGATCAGGGTCGAGGATGATCCATTGGGGACCCCTTCCGGTTCCGTTTATCCAAACAGGCCCGTCGGCAGAACTCAAAGGGATATCGACAGAGAACTCTGGTCGAACAAAGATCGGTATCAACCATACAACACAGATTGTAGAAACAGCGGCCCAGGATGCAATCCCATCCGAAATGATCAAAGGAACGGTCGAAGACAGAGCTCTCGAGGGCTCATGAGGAAAAGTGGCTTCGATAAACATGCCGATCCCACAGAAGCACCACGATTATCAGAATACAACTTTAGTATAGACGCATCAGGTATTGTGTCAGCCATTGGGAGAATCAAAGATACTAGATGGCCTAGACCCCTACAAACCGATCCATACCAAAGAAACCCCAATCAAATATGCAAATACCATGGTACACATGGTCATAGAACCAAAGACTGCAGACAACTAAGGGCGGAGGTGGCCCGTTTATTCAACGAGGGTCACCTTCGAGAATTCTTGAGCGACCGAGCTAAAAACTATTTCAGAGACATGGATGCAAACAGGAAAAACGAGCAGGGAGAACCACAGCACGTGATTCACATGATCGTAGGTGGGGTCGATATTCCACAAGGGCCCGTGTTCAAACGCACTAAAATATCAATCACCAGGGAAAAAATGAACTCGAGACTATGTACCAGAAGTCACTTTATCATTCAATGATGAGGAAGCAAAAGGGATCTCACAACCCCACAATGATGCTTTGGTAATCTCTATCCTTATGAATAAAATTCATGTTAAACGTGTTTTAATTGATCTAGGAAGCTCGGCCAATATTATTCGATCGAGGGTCCTGGAGCAGCTCGGCCTACAAGATTAGATCGTACTCGCAGCTCGGATTCTCAATGGCTTCAACATGGCGAGTGAAAAAACTAAAAGTGAAATTATCCTACCAGTAAATGTAGCCAGAACTATTCGAGAAACAAAGTTCCATATGATCGAGGGCGATATAAGATACAACGCACTGCTCGGAAGACCCTGGATTCACAACATGAGGGCGGTCCCCTCAACCTTTCACCAAATTCTAAAGTTCACAACACCGGATGGAGTAAAAATGGTGTATGGGGAACAACATGCTTCCAAAGAAATATTTGCGGTCGACGAAGTAACACCGATATCGGCGCTTTCATCAACAAAGGGATAGGAGTCCAAAGGAAAACAGGAAGCTAAATAGCAACCACAACCACCAGCTTCGACTCAGTCGGAGAAGCAGGGAACGGACGAGGACGATGACTACTGGATCCCTCAATCCTTCATAATCCCCGAGGATTCCGACGCAACCAAATTGTCAGTCAAAGAGCTGGAGCAAGTCATATTGATCGAGCATCTACCCGATCGAAAAGTATACCTGGGTACGGGATTAACCCCCGAGCTTAGGGAAAAACTCATTAAATTTCTTATCAATAACATGGATTGTTTTGCTTGGTCCCACCTAGATATGACAGGGATCCCGCCGGAGATCACTACATATCGACTGAGCTTGGACCTGAAGTTCCGCACGGTAAAACAAAAGAGAAGGCCCCAGTCCGAGGTAAAAAATGCATTCATCAAGGACGAGGTAACCA